TTTCGTCGCGCTGGGATGACGTCAAATGCGCGCTTTCGTCGATCGCGCTTTTGTGGACCGCGGTTTTGACGGGTCACGCTTCACAAATGCCTTCAGAGGTTGTGGATGCTCGACACTGGAAGTTTTTAAGAAGAGATTAGACAAACATTTGTCTGAAATATTACCAGGTTTCCTGCCTGAGCAGGGGGTTGGACTAGAAGACCTCTAGGGTCCCTTCCAACTCTGTTATTCTCTTCTGTTCAAATGTCCAACTGGGTTCAGACGACATTGATTAGGGTGAAAAGGAAAGCAGCAAGGAGCACAAGCCAGCATTGCCTCTCTCTGGATTAGGTAAACTCTGGGTTTTTAGGCTGATATCACCGTGAGGCACACACCACACTGTCCACAGCAAATCAACATATCCCATTACACTATTGTTCAGCTAGCCATGGTTTAATAAATGTGGTACAGTTGGCTGAGTGTGCAGAACACACAAATGAGCTTAGCAACCAAGACTGCTGCATTCTCACAGGCTGTAAGCCATGAAGGTCCAACCTTTTGACTTGCCTGGGTTGCCTTGAGGAAAGAGGGATTCCCTTGGGCCACATATACATTATGTGATTTATATACATTAACTATATTATACGTTAACAAAGAATGTTAAAGGTTTATGGTCTTGTGAGGCCACGAGCTGTCTAGGTCCCCGTTGGACAAGCCTGGTCTGAACCTTCATGTGATTGATTCTTTTTTTGATAGTCTCAACCAAGAGACCCCCTGCTGCCTCCCCTATTGCTTGAACCTACGGGGGTGGTTTGGGGGGTAACGTCTCCCCCCCCCCTGAACCTGCGCAACGGAGGCTGCGGACTCAAGCCTGAAAGCCAAGCCGGGGGCGGGAAGGCGGCAGCCAGCCAGGAAACGGACTCTCGGCGTCGGGCTCGAGGACTGGGGGCTGGGCCGGCCGGGAGGGCCTTCCGCTTGCCCGGTTGCAAGGCGGGCCAGAGGAGAGCGGAGAGCGCGCCGGATCCCCCGACGGCCCCTCGTCCGCCGCCGCCCGTGGAGCTGGCAGGCGCGCGGGAGCCTCCGACGGCGCTTCCGACGGGCGAGCGGAGCGGCGGCTCCAGCGGCCGCCTTTGGCCCCTTGCCCCGCTG